TTTTTTTAAAAATTAAACCCCCCCCCCCTTTTTCCCCCTTTTTTTTTTTTTTTTTTTTTTTTTTTTTTTTTTTTTTTTGTTGGTTTTTGTTTTTTTTTTTTTTTTTTTTTTTTTTTTTTTTTTTTCGTTTAAAAAAGATGAATTTTATTGGTCTTTCAAAATTAATCCTTGGCATTGGCCAAGGTATAAAATGCATATAATACAAAAATATTCTTTTTGATTGGATATGTTTCACTTGATTGATCAATATAAAATATATAAAGAAAGAAAAAAAAAATAAAAAGATAAGGAAAAAGAAACAAAAGATCTAGGTTTTTTTATAAGATACTGGACTGTAAAATTATAACTAGGAGAGGCTATGAGGATTGTTACGCTCAAAGCTGTATATAGCCTTGAGGATTGTTCCGCTGAAGGCATATATCTCCCTTACTTCCCTAGTACAGTACTCTCCAATCAAACGCCGCTTCCGCTACGCGCGCGTAAAATATGGAGGTTGTACTAGTTTTCTTTTTACTGGTTAAAGATCTCTGCATTTCGGACCGGTAATCGAATCGAAGCCGGGCCAAAAGAGGGCAATCATATACCAGATGACGAACAGTTTGCTCACTGTGGCCACAAGGACAGCTTGGATCATCAATAAGGCCGAAGCGCTTAAGATGATATCCAAATTGTCCATGACCTGTCAACGTCTGTGTTAACCAGTAATTGGCGTATTTTGCAAACTTGATGACAGATGTTACCCGAGGGGCCAACATTCTAGTTACACTTCCAGCAGCGTCATTTTGGTATAGAAATTGCCATCTTTCAAGCATCATTGATCTTTCTCTAGCTCTGACGGCCGACAATGGGATCCTATCAAATAATATTGCCGCCCTTTGATGTCTCGAAATGGAGTTTGCTCGCCGTCTGATTCTGGTTTCCCATGCACAGGATCGGTCCGCCTTACGCCATGACATATAGACATTTTCAGGGGAAGTAGATATTATCTGACTCACTATTTCGCCTTGGCTACCGTTAGTATGTGCTTTGAGGTGACACAATGTGCCACGACTGTTAAGAATGATCAAGACATTCGGGACAGAGTCCCAATTGCCAGCGATCCATTCCACAGCTCTCAGAACGCCTAACAAGTCAGCTTGTAAGGTAGAACAATAGTGAGCGAGCCTCATTGTCTTGATGGTAATGCAGTTAGTATCGTCGAACACTGCAAAGGCCGAGCCCACTCCACGATTGGATTTTGACGAGATGACAATCAATCGCTTTGGTGGTGGGACTACTAGACAGTTGGTTAATATTCTTTCATTAAGTTTTGCAGAACCTTTATCGGATATCAGTGGAATATCAACCAGGATTTTATCGTCATACAGGTCGTACTCTCCTGTGATGCGAGCTCTGACCACATTGGCAATTTGGGGGATTTGAACTAAGAGGGGGGGGAATCCTGCCACCGCTGTGGTGGATATAAAGGATGCAGTCCGATATGACTTAACGGCCATCTGAGCGAATACTCGCTGCAGACGTCGTAAGCTTTCTCGGACTTTTCGATATTGCAGAGCTTTATTCCATACCACACAACCGTAAGATATGATGGGCACTATTATCGTGTGATACATCCGCATAAGAATAGCTGGTTCCAGCCCGAAGGTTGGCCTTGCCATTCCGCACATTTTGCGGTAAATGATTGTTGCTTTGTTGATCGTATTTTGGACATGGAGTCGATAGCTTAACTTGTGATCAAAAGTTATACCCAGGATTTTGACACACTCGGACGTGCTAATAGCCTGCCCATTCATGAAGAATGGTTCTAGCCTTAGAGGTCGCAAACCGCGGTTTATGACCATTACTTTAGTTTTAGCCTCTGAAAAGGTTAGTTTGACGTTTTTTCCCCATGTAGCTGCAGTGGACAGAGCTCCGTTGACTAGCCAGGCAAAAATGCGTGGGTTATCGTGGGAGATGACCAAGGCCACGTCGTCAGCGAAAGCTTGAACGTGCACATCTTTGGAAAAATGGTTAGCTATAAGACTATTGATCACAAGATTCCAAAACAGTGGTCCGCATACTGACCCTTGGACTGTGCCGCGGTTCGTTGGTTTCCCAACTACTAAGCCACCATAACTAGTTATCGCTGTTCGATTATCGAAGTAGTCAGACGCAAGCTGGACTAGGTAAGTGGGGACTTTTTTGTTTATTAGCTGCTTGAGAATGTAGGGGTGCCACGCGTGATCGAAAGCCCCTTTAATGTCAAGTGACACAAGGGCAACGTATTTATGCTCAGAGACTCTTCGCATAATGTTGTTGTCGATCGACAAAAGAGCTTGGTCTGCTGATTTACCTGGCATAAATCCATATTGGTTACTATGAATTGCTCCCTCCCGCATTAGGTGATGACGGATCCGGTCGGTCATAACTCTTTCGAGCAACTTCCCAAAAACCGAGATCAAGCCTATCGGCCTATAAGCTGAAGGGAGTCCATAGTCCTCCTTAAAAGGTTTCTGCAAAATCTTAATTACTGAAATTTTCCAGTAAAAAGGGAAGGTGTTAGTTTTTAAACAGCAGTTATATAAAGCCACCGCAATCTCAGGGAAAAAAGCTATGAATTTTTTGATGATAATCGGTGCTAATCCATCAAATCCAGGCGCCTTATTGTTGGAAAATTTGCTGGCTCCATTCAGCAACTCTCTTAATGTAACTGGTTGGTATTCGATGTTGGTTTGGTGTCGGACGCGCCAGCTGGCCACCTTTGCTCTGATGCGTCCCTGACTTTTATGGTCATCTGGGGTGTCGTCCGGGAACAATTGCTCCATTAGATATTGCCCTGATTTCCTCGGGTCAAGGTCACATTCGCCATCAGTTATCGTCTGCTGTTGTTGGACGTTGTTGGCTTTCAATACTCGGCAGAGTTTTTCGTAATGGTTTTCCCCTTCATTGCCATTCAGGAAGCGGGACCAGGAGTCGGCTTTCGCCTTCTTCACAATATCCCGGTGATTCCTGCGTAGCTCCAGGTATTCCATACTTAGCTGCTGCCGATAGAAGATGTTTCTACAGTTGTTAATCCGGTGGTACAGCCGCCGGAGAGCCAGCAAAGATGCATGGATCTCCGGGGTTTCCCAGCGCGGTGACTTTATTCTTGTTCTTTTAAATCGTCGCATGGTTTGTTCACATGCAGTTTGTATTGCTACTGTTATTGCTGCGGTGACGTGGTCAACACTCGTTTTATCGGTGATAGAATCGATGTATTCAACGTCAACTAAGTTTGCACCGAGCGATTGCGACACTTTCGCTGACCAATCCTCCCAGTCGACATCAGTGGTTGACCACTTAACAGTGGTCTTGAACATGTTGCCGGCTGTTTGGTGGTCAGTTACAGTGAAGCTAATCGCCCGGTGGTCGCTTGAGTTGATCTCATCAGATACGTGCCAGTTGGTGATTTTTCTTGCTATACCGGATGAGGCTACCGTTACATCAATAAATGATGTTAGTGTAGTCCCATTCCGTACAGTGTAAAAAGTTGGTGTTGAGCCGGTATTTATTATTTCGAGACTGTTTTGATTGAATGCACTATTGAAGCTTTCACCTCTACGGTCAAATGTGTTGCTTCCCCAAAATGGGGACTTTGCGTTGAGGTCTCCGGCGATGATGATGTTTTTGTTTAAACTATATTCACAAATTTTGTCAATTTTAGCTAAGGTATCATTGAGGTTGCACTGGGGGTGTGAGTATATTGAAGAGATTATAGTATTTTGTACTTGTATAGTTACGATATCGCTGCTTGAAAGGTGCGATATGAGGATTGCATCGATATGTGGATTAAGTATGACTATGGAAGCACGTACACGGGGGTGATTTGAGGATGGAGCAGGTGGTATGTTGGAAGTTTGTTGTTGAGGTGAGTTGGGTGAAATGGTATGTGATGGATGTTGATGGGTTGATGAGGATGGTGATGATTTGGTGGAGAAGAATG